TTATCACTTTTCGCAAAATTAGTTTTCTCAGAAACCCTTTTACCGATTTCGAAAAAAGGGACAGTCTCAAGTATTGCAGATACCCACCGCAGATTCACAACACGCAAATACTCACCACGATATGGAATTAACTTCCTTGACAAGCAGTCCACCACATTTGATAGATTCTGGGAAATTGAAGATATTCCTTCAGCTCCTGAATCTCAACACTCATACAACGAGATGGAGTGTATCCGACTTTTCGATAGGACTACGACCTATGGCTCACATGAGCGAGCTATGGTGAGATTTGCCTATCAGCAAATCACAGGGGATCTACAAAACCACCCATGAATGGTTGCCCGATATTGGTCTTTCAGCGCGCAAACCTTTCCGACAAAACATTTCCAATGAAAAGAAGCTACGGCAGAATCGTGAAGTCAAGAACCAGTATAACAACTTCTCCCATGAGATGGCGGATACTGGCCATATTGAAAAGGTACCTGTGTGAGATCAATTCCGGCCACTCGAGAAGTACTTCATATGCCTCATCATGCAGTTTGGAAGTCGCATTCAACAGCAATAAAATGCAGGGGTGTTTTCAACGGATCAGCTCCAACTTCAAATGGAAAATCACTGAAAGATGTCTGCTGTTTGGTCCCAAGCAGCAGCCAGACCTCTTCAGCATCCTCTATTTGCACTATCTGGCGACATTACTAAGATAAACAGGCAAATAGAACTACACCCCATAGGCATAAGTCTACTTCAGCTCTACCGGAGAAGAGAAGATGATACAATTGAATACCGATTGAATCGCGCCATCTACGGCATAGGTTACTGTATTTATCACGCCATAAGTGTTTTGTCAGACGACGCCGACAAAACAGATGATGAACAGACACAGCTAGTAATTCGCTAGTCCTACGTGGATAACTACATCGGTGGTACAAATACTGAGGAACAAGCCATCCGAATCTGCCAGAGTATCACGGACACTCCGGACAAAGTCTGGTTGCAAATTTGGAAATGCGCAAGCAACAGCAAGGTTGTCATGAGCGATATTGACGACAAACTGAATGAAACTAAAGAATCATTCTTAGCAGAAATTGACAACAGCGTCACAAATATTGGTCTGAAGTGGCATCCAGTTTCTGACTGTTACCAGTAAAGGTGTATGAGTAAATTGGACTCAGTGAAGTTCATAGGCATGCACCATGCCACCGCAAACCTTATCTAGCCAACCAAAGTCTCGAGTGTTGATTTTGAAGTAATTCCTGTTGCTGCCGAAAAAGTTAAAAATGTGGCAAGTTCAGCCCACTAGATGACAAGGAAGCAGAAACCGCCGGCAACCAGAACCTGGTGCTTTCGGACCCCACAGATGCCGGATGAATCGCGTAGGTTTTTGCGGAGGATCAAACTATTTAGGAAATAAACTCTGGACGCTAGAAACATGCTGAAAAAGACAACAAAGAGCAACTAAACCTTGACATTCGCATTCAGCATGATTGCTCAAATACGATATCGCATCAACCAGAGTCAAAAAGTGTTTTTTTTAAAGTTTCGATATCAGTTTCACCCAAAAAGTGGGCAAGTTTGAGTAAAGTTTTCGGATTGAAAAAATCGTACTTTGAGAGCAAAGCGGCTTCCAGCACGCTGTACTCGCTTGCCCCATTGACAGAAATCATCCAGATGCCTCTTATAAGTATTTTTCACAACAATCAAGATGATTTCACAGGAGCCCTAATGTGGTCAACTTCGACAGAAATATTCAAAGTGAAAGTTTCAAAAATGGACCCCCTAATAAAAGTCAGAACGGGTTTCACCCATGCCCAAAGAAATTTCCGGACGAAAAATATCGAGAGATCCACCCAGAATTGTTCAAGTGGCACAAAACAAAAACAGGACTCCCCCCAGCATCCTCTGGTCAGCTGAAACACGCTAAGAAGAGAAGAAAGACATGTAGAAGGCCACCTGAAATGATAAAGAGCAGCGCATCAACTTCGAAAACATAAGTGCACCTACAATCACTCTCCGGATGATAGCAAGCAACATGGCGCAAGTTTTAATCCACTGGTACTTGTGTCCCCTGTAACGATAATGCCGAAGATTGTATTCCAAAAAACATGGGATGAAGAGTTGGAATGGGATGACAATGTTGGGGTACATATAACCCACCGATTCCAACACTTGATGGATAGCCTAGGTTTTTTGTCTTTTCTGGCTGTACCTCGGTACTTGACCAAGGATAGATTTCAGCCAGTCGATCTTCCACTCTTCTGCGATACATCGGAGATGGCTTATGGAGCAGCTATCTAAGTCAGAACCCACACTTCAGTGCCAGCTGCCAATTCACGACTTGCACCAAGGAAGACAGTTGCATTCCATGACTGAAGTTCTGCTGAATGGTTCTGGGCTGTAAATTCCGTAAATGTGTCTGGAATTCAATCAAAACTTCGCTTCAATCAAAACTTCAATCAAAATTGGTGGTAGATGTCAGCGCGTGGAGTGATTCAACATTAGCACTTGCTTGGATCAGATCAACTCCCAGCAGGTATTCTACTTTTGTGGCCAACCGCTTTACCAAAGTTCAACAGATGCTACCAGCCAACAAATGGAAACAGGTTCCGACTCATCAAAATCCAGGCGATCATACAACTCGACCATAAGCAGGAGCTGAACTACGTAATTTGCAACTTAGGTTGTGAGGACCCTCTTTTGGTTGCAGACAAATGAAAATTGTATTCCAGTACAAGCAACAATTCTCTCAAGTAAATGAAGAGAACAACGAGCTCAAACGGTCATTCGACGAAACCATCCTGGTCACTCAGGCAGCTGGTGGGGAGAAAACCATGCAAGCAGCAAAAGCAACCAAGACTAAAGGTCAGATAGACAAAGAGAGGAAAGTTCTTCGAGTTCGAACAATGGGATCTTTTGGTAAAGCTCTACGCATCGGAGCTTTAGTCGCAAAGTTCGCCCTGAAACTCCTGAAGAAATCAGCTTCAAAAGCGAGGCCTGAACCTTCTTGTACGAAACGTCAAGAGCAGCTTTTCGACGAAGAATTGAAAGCAGTCAGAAAGGACGAGACATTAGCCGGACATCAAACCTCCTTCAGCTGATGGTGATGATGAATTGCTAAAAGTTGGTGGACGACTCGCAGCAGCTGATTGCCTAAACGAGAAAGCAAAATTTCAGATGATCTCGCATCTCATTTCTCAAGAACTGTGATTCACCATAGTCACTTTGTTCAACTACACTGTGGATTGAATACCACTGTTGCTCACACTCGGCAGCAGTACTGGATCATACAAGTCAAAGCGATGGTGCGAGCAATGATAGGCAAGTGCATCACTTGCTTCAGGTTTCATAGTCGAGCAATGAACCAGCGGATGGGAGAATACCCTAGTGAGAGAGTCAACCCATCACCACCATTCTTCTACATTGGTATTGATTCAGCCGACTGATGTGCTACAAGGAAGTTGATCACTATACTCAAGTGCTACAGAGTAGTTTTCATCTTCTTTTCTACCAAACCAATCCACTTGGATTTTTCAAAAGCCTTGGACACTGAAAAATGCTTGAAGGTTATCAGAAGGTTCATTGCTCGACGATGATGCTCCAGGGTGATTTTTTTCCCGATAAGGGAACCAACTTAATCGGATCACTTAACGAGCTAATTCAAGTGAAGAAACTTCTACGAGATACAAAACCTCCCTGATCATGTTCGAGACCTAGGTATCATTTGGCCTTCTATAATTGCAAGGGCTCCAAGTTTCGAAGGGCTATAGGAAACGGCTGTTAGGTCAATGAAACTGCTATATCACAAGACAATAGGCAATGGAGGAAAACTCAGCTTGATGAGATGTACACAGTGCTTTGTCAGATAGAAGCTATACTCAACTCAAGACCGATTACAACTATCTCGGATGATGTCAAAGACAGTGCCACTCACTCCATCAATGCTGCGAAATGGTTTCAAGTCAAGTCAATTGCCCATTATTGCTGATCCTACCATTGATTAGCTCAATGATAAAAAAACGCCCGACAAAACGATTCAACTATCTGCAGAAACTGGCAGATTTTTGGAAGAAATGGACATTTGAGTGTCTAACCGCTACGCAACAACGCAATAAGAACCGTGTAGAAAAACAAAACCTGAAAAAAAGCGATCTAGAATACATAACTGATGATGATAACCCCCTTTATCATGGCCATTTGGAATCGTGGAAAAGATATATGCCGGAAACGAGAGTCTAGTGAGGGTAGCGCAAGTTAAAACAGGGAATGGTTGAAACAAGGAATGGCAAGCTTTTGCACAACCAATTTTAAGATTACGGAATATGCCGATGAAAGATAAAAGAATAAATTCATAAACAACAACAGATCAAAATTAAAATTCAAAAACAATTGTCAGTCAACTAGCTCCTTTCCAAATTCATCCTTCCGACATTTACAATAACTATACTTCCGAATCCTCCTTTTCTTCACCACAGGATCAGGAGCTGCATCCACCAACTCCAGCCGCCTGAGGGCCACCCGACAATCCCAGTTCACCTTCACCGCCTTCTTCGCAATCACCACCTTCCACGCAATCAAACCCGACAACTTCACTACACTCGCCTTCTTCATGCTACTTCCGAATTTCATAACCATCTGAAATGCGAAAAGATCGATCAAAGATCAACGGAGGGCGGCATTGTTGGAGGAAACAAAGCGCATTTTAAATGATAAGATCATTTGTTCTCATGTAAACTCAAATAAAAGCGCATGTTAATTTTCCCATAATTTATTTCATTTATCCGCAGTTTGTAGTAACTACATCATCATAATTCAATTTTTATACGATACTGTCGCTTTTCAGCTATGGCGAAGTATTCAAATACTTCTCTTCGATATTTTTTAATCCTTTTTTTCTTCGTTGCTTAGTGAAAATATATGTCGAATTTTGTTTTGATTTTTTCAGGTTGTTGTGAATGCGTATGTCGAGCTAGTTGGTAGGGATAGTAATAATAAAAACAATCATAATGTGGCATCGAGTACTAGCCGAATTGATCACAGCGTCTACACTGGCAATAGGGAGAGCGATTGGGAAGGCGTTCAGGGAGGAGTACACAGAAACTGCTCAGGCCTGGAAGAGTATCCAGCACCAAAGCAGAAGAGAAGCGGCCGAAGACGCAGAGACGAAAAGTGTGAGTGCCAGAACCGGAATCACAATTGCAGAGGCGGCTCAGATTCTGAATTTGAAGGAACCATACACATTTGAAAGCATAGAGAACAATTTTCGTTATCTTTTCGAGGTCAATTCCAAAGAGCAAGGAGCATCCAAGTATATTCAAGCGAAAGTTACTAATGCGAAAGAAAGATTAATAGAGGAGTTGCAATCAAAGAAGGATAAAACTGACTCTTAGCTGATGTTTTCACTTACAGAAACTTTTTTTGCATTTTTGTATAACAACGAGAAAACTTAATTGTTCAAAACTTCTCTTTGGCCGATCACATCCGTTTTAGGCATTTTGTTCCTATTTATGATCATGATGAATTTAAACAAATCTAAAAATTAAACAGTTTCTTGAGTATTTTATGTTGAATTGTATTTAAAATACATGGTTTAACTGACGTTAAAACAAAGGTATCCTTTCGTATCGATGGGTTTTGTAAGCTTCAAATGCCCGTGACCAGTTAACTTCAATTTCATAGCTCGATTAGTTTTACTGATATTCAGAGCGTCTTATCTGTTTTTAGATATATGAGTTCAGATCTTTTGAGTTTTGAAATTCAGTTCGAGTCATTACACCAAAAATGTAAATTTTATCGAGCGAACTATTCCAAGTTTAGATCCTTGAAGTATTTCAAGAATCTTTCCCACGAGATTTTTCAAAAGATTCACTCTTAGCAAGCTATCTTCAGAAGGAAATATCGTTTTAATTTGTATAGAATATCAAAGCCATAGCCCACTTTTCCGTAGGTTCAATGAATCGTTTTTTCAGCAAGGTTTTTAAGCAAGCTATTCATACAAGTTATTTATACATCAACTCGATTTAACTACTTTTTTGTTTCCTCAAGTTCCAATTCCTACTATGAATTTCTTCAACTATTGAAGTATCTGATTTTTTTTTAATTTTGGTTAACATCTTCGATTAGCTCAACCAAGTCATTCAAAATATAAATTTTTGTATGCTCGCTCAACTGAAAGCTTGTCGTTGTGTCTTCAAACTTTGGAATTTAAATTTGGAATTTAAATTTTTGGGTCAGCCATGCCATTGATGAAATTTTATTTGCTTTAAGTACAGTTAGACATCTTCAATCTTTTCGCTGTAAATTTTGGTATCTAAAAGCGATGAAACAACCATTCCGGGTCAGTTTTTGTGGATTGAAATTTTGAATTGAAGCATAATCCTATAGATTGCGATAGAGCAATTTTTTTTTCTAATACACTTAAATATTTTCCACAGAGCTGAAGCGATAAAACGTAGTGATCTTAGGTACATAACAATTTTAAAAGTTGTTTTGCAACGCATAAAAAATTCTTTAGCACGCTCTTCATTTTATCAAGCTAAACGGTTTAAAAGAAGATAGTGATTTGACTTTTTTGCCTAATTTTAATTGTAAACTATTTTTTTGATAAAATTTTGTAACTTCAATCGAGTACTTGCAATCCAGTGCTAGACTTTTTTTTCCCATCAACAACTTCGCCCACAGTATCTTCACTTCTAGAGGTTCACTTTTAGAGAATCTTTCATCTGAAATACTCAATGTCATGAAAGTTCAAATCAAAGTACTGTCACTTAGCTAGTAATTATTTCAAGCCCGTTTCAGATTGTAATTATCTTAATAAAAAATGTTTCTCCATTTTTTGGGTTCCTGGTTTTTCTAGTTTCTGTTGGTTAGTTTTTCGTTTTTTCAAACGCCATTTTCTTTATCTGTTAGAATTTTTTTGGTTTACTTTTTAGTCATGGGTTTTGTTCCAATTTGAACAGTTTTTACTGTAACTGAAACTTCACAAATTTGTAAATTGACCATGCCTGATTTTGAGTTTTTCTTTTATTTATTTATTTTTTTTTCAATTATTTAAACAGTTCTAGTTAATGCTATATCGACTTAGTCAACTTATTTTGCGTAATTTCGAGGGCAAAATATATCCGTTTCGACCCAAAACTTGTCCCATTTGTCGCCGCTTAGTAAATGATTTCCATTTCGTAAGAGCTGTTTTTGAACTTCATCTGATACAAAATGAAGTTTTTATGGCTGCATTTCATAATTTATAACAAATTTTTCCCAACAGAATTTTTCAAAAATTTTTTTAAAAATTTTTTTTAAAGTAATTTTTTCCTTTATAATTTTTGAGAGATTTTTTTCACTTCACTATTTTTTTGATTCACTGTTTTGTAGAGCAATGTGTTTTTGCATCGCAAGTGTTGCGAAGCTTCGCTTCACCTCTGTGTTCATAATGTTTCTTGAAAAAAAATTTTCAAAATTTAAAATTCATAGTCCTAAATATTTGAGGCTCATTTAATTGACTTCAATCATTTTGTTACAAATTTAGATCGCCAACAAACGTATGTTTCTAAGTACCGAAAAATTTTATTCGAATTGATTGAAAATTGTCGCAAGAACATTATTTTTCCTTTTTTGTCAGTCCTAATCTTTTAATGCAATATTTTCTTCGTATCGCAAGTGATACTGTGTCATATGGTTTTCACTGTGATTTGTTTTTAGTTCTAAGTTAAGAAAAAAATGCTTTTTTTCGGTTTCTTTGTTCACTGACATTTCTCCAACTTTCGATTAATTATGCTTTCAACTTGAATTGTTGTGTTCGATAAAAACGTTTTTCCATAGATTCCGTGTCTGAATAATAGTATTATGTTTTGCGAAAATTTAATTTTTATTTTATTTGAAATTTCAGAAATAGCTTGAAAAACTAGCCTTCAGAAATTTGTTTAATTGCTGTATACCTGTTCAGTTATGCTGCCTATTTTTTACATGGGGCGGTATATTTTAAGGTGCAAAACCATTATATGCTAAACTGCCTAGGTTGAGCAAAAATGCTTCTCTTACAGTTTTCCTAAATAGAAAAAGGCTTGTCTTGCAATTGAAAGTTGTAAGAAAATTTTACGATGAGCGTTTGTTCATGTTTGAAAGTTATATGACATGCATATTTTCCATAAAGTAAAAAATTATGATTTTTCGAACTCAACTAAAAATTTTTGCGTTTTTGTCTGAAAACACAATAAGCAAAGATTTTTGACGCAAGAAACCTTGATGGTTTAGGGGAAGAAATCTCACAGATACTCGGCGGTTGATTAAAAAATGTGTGAGATATGAATACACCCAGAATTTGAATCAAAACCTTGAATTTTTTATGACTGGAAAGTTTTTTGAGTGAAAAATTTAGTCATAAATTTTACTATTTAATAATCGCGGTCGTAGATTTTTGAAGATCTTACCAAAGAAAGGTTAAAAAATTTCAGTTTTGGTTTGTATGAAAATTCTCTGTCAATTTTGTTTCTTTTGTATTCAGCCTGCCCTGCACTATCTTATTGACAAAAACAAAAAAAGTCTTTGCTTTTTTTTCAAAAAAAGCGTATTTGAGCATGAAACTGGTATTGAGACAAAAAATTGACAAAAAAATTCCGTGAAATTTGGATTTTTGAATTTGTAAAAATGACTTATCATACAGTTTTTATGTGTTGAAATTATACGATAAACATTTTTTTCATAGACTCCGTGTCTGAAATTATGCCAATAATTTTAAATTATTTTCGAATGACATTCTATGCTCTGCTCGAGCTCATACTTGAAAAAAAAATATCTCTCAGCTTGAAATGAGGTTAAATCCGTTGATTTTTTATTGATAGTTTTTTTGAGTTTGTGGTTTTTGTCCTGTTTTTCGTCGGGTCTCTTATTGTTCTATGAAATACCTTAAATTTTTTGAATAAGGTTTTAAGTCGGTTTATTTGTTTAAGCATAGTTTTTTTTTGGTTTTGGAGAGTTTTAAGTTAAAAGGAAGGTTCAGTAATTTGTTAATTTACCAATTCTGATTATTTTGTTACTTTTTTTCGACTAACCAGTTTTGTCAAAATTTTTACTAATTTAAAATCGTGGGCTGATTTTTCTGAATATCTTACAAAATAATAGCTTTTAAAATTTCGATTTCGGATTTGCGTAAAAATTTTCTTTCAGTTTTGTTTCTTTTTGTATTCAGCCTGCACTATGTTGAAACAAAAAAATTCTATGCATTTTTTCCGAAAAGTGCTTTTTTGAGCATGAATCTGATGTGCGACTGAAAATTGACGAAAAAGTGACCTGAAATTTGGATTTTTTAAAATTTAAAATTAGCTTTTATAAATGGAAATTGTACGATAAACATTTGTTCAATACGCTCCCTGCCTGAATTTGTGCGATAAGCTTTTTTCCTTGTATGAAATTGTAAGACACTTTTTTTTCGTGTATGGAGGTCATTCCGGGTATTTACTTGTTTTCATTTGGGTTCGTAAACTCTTTGCCATAGGAGTGAAGTTGACAAGATCTGATTAGGAGAATTTGAATTTCACTACGAGGCCAAACTGTGCATTGTAAGCGGATTCCGCAACAGGCTAAAATCAGATTTGTCGCGGAATTCGCAGCCTTGCAACTTTTCTTTGATCTTCTTTGCTGGTTTGGATTCCACAAACAATTGTCTGAAACACTGTAGCGCTCAAAATTGCTCCAAAAATAGGCGAATTTGCGGAATCCGCAGCATTGTTTGTGGAATTTATTGTTTAAGGAAATTAGTAACTGAGTTATATCAGCATGAACAGCGAACATACGTAATAGTTTTTTCGACAGTTTCTGAGAAAGTACCAGCACAAAGAAATTTGAAGGTCGCCTCTCGTTTTCATTTTTGTCGTACAGTGGAGTGAGTGTTTCTTAAATTTAATACTCAATTGAGCACAGAAAAAGTGGATTTGTGAACATAAATGAAGTTGGATCAAGTTGCGGTCATGTCTAATTTTTAGTGTAGTTTGACGCACTAAATCCCGGGCGGCGCGAGGCATGAAATGAAGACTATCACGTACCATCTTCTCCAAGGTAGTTGTCTTATCTAGTAGAACTAATCAAGTTATGCTTCATAATTACCCTTTTGCAGGCGTTGGCTTTAAAGGTTAACCAACATATGTTTTAACCCACAATCTACGCGAATAGAGATAAGTCTTTCTTTTTCCACATTGGTTAGCGTGAAAACGAGAAAAGAACTGCTTATTTTCTTGCAACGTTTGTGACTTGTATTAAAACTCTTTTGCTCAGCTCTGCTCAATCACTGATCTCACCGTATTTATTTTTTTTAACCGTCCTTATTTTTTCGCCATCTTCGAACAATATTCCCTCCCCAAATCTATCCTTCCTCCACAAAATTAAAGGAAAGTGAAAAAGCAGCTCACGTGGCGCAATGGAAAGGAAAAACAGTATCTTTCTGAGGACCTGTGTGTGTGTGTGGGTCTGTGTGTATTTGTAGGTGTGTATTTTTGTTTCAGCAAACCTCTGTGCGACAAAAACACAACTTGTCCGGTTAAACATTTTACAGTAAGCTTTTTCATACCAATCAATTCAAATTGAACAAAACTGCTCGTATCAGGGCGAAGCCCTGAATGTTCCGACTACTTTTTAAGGCCTATAGAGCAGTAATAACATGAAAAAGAAAATAACTGTAATAATCAGTGGCGTGCGCAGAAATTTTTCTTGGGGGGGGGGGTGGTTTTTCAAAAAAAAAAAATTGCCGACCTTTTTTATTTTATTTTTTGGTCGAGCAATTTCATTTTGAGCTCTACTATATGGACCCTACTTTGTCAAAAAATGCCTCCTTGTAACAAATCAATTATGGCAAATAAGCGTCCTTCAACCAATTCGGAACGATTTCTAAGACGGATTATCCTCCGCTTACGCGGTAATAGCGCGAAACGTATCGGTCGAAACGAATCAGTCCTAAATATACCAAAATGGCAATATTTAAACCCCCATAATTTTACGAAGAATGATTGCAGGTGAAGTATCTTTTCGAATTTAAGCTCAGTACAACAATATCTTTTGAATGATATAAAAGTTCCGTCAAAAATGGCTAGTTGAAAAGTCAAAATTTGTCTGAAGAAAAAAAACCACCCGAGCACAAATATTCTTACTTTCGTTACGAAATTCGGAACAACAACAAGTAAAATTGAGAAATGACCAGAAGCCTAAAATACTATTCGCGTTTAGATTCGTGTTAGGATACTGCACATAACCAGTCGAGTCTCAGATTTTTTCTGAACAGGTACACGTTATAATCTGTTTTTTTTCTGGTTCTTGCCTGAGAATAGTTTTCGTCTATTTTGATCTCTAAAACATGTCCGTCATTAGACTTATGAGAAAGGAATTAGTTTTGGTCGAGTCAAGAATTAAGCGGTTGAAGAAGTTACCAAGTGGTGGCTTGTTCTTTCTTCTTTTTGTCGATGGAAGAAGTGGCCGTGATGTGATTCTCTGCTGGTTGATAGATATAGAAATGATAGGAACACCTGCACGGACCAGAGAGCCTCTTGGACGTGTCATTAATTTTTTATCAGTCGCCCCGCCGGCTGCCGCTGGATGCCAATTACAGTCCATAGCCTAACCAAAGTACTGTTTGCCGTACAATTTAATGCGTGGTTGTGTACCGCCGATTCAACCATAAATCACAAGATAAATTTAGTGGAGTGTACCAAAAATTTAAAATTTGAATTAACAATCCCGAGACAAATACCAAAAGATGAAGGAAAATTCCTCTGCAGATCTCAATCCATGTCTGCTCATAGTTAGTGGATACCAAACTTGTGGGTAATTGTTTTTGCCTGCATCTGTTGTTAAAGTTGGGCTTGCCGAACGATTCGTATAATTTCATGTGGTCTTATGAAAATAGGCAATGCCGGCACAGTTCATGGAGTAAGTACTACTGTTGTTATCCCTCGCATTTTATCATTCAAAGTTACTACAAACACACCCACACACACATTTGTTTGCCGCCAGTGCGAGCAACTGCAGTTGCTTGTTGATGATGTAGGATTGATTGCGGATTTGCATTTGTGAATTTTAATTGCATAATTTACATCAAATCTCATTCTATGTCACAGCAGTCAGGCAGTCAGTCAGTCTGTGGAGGTCAAACAGGTAAGAAGTATCCGCTTATCTTCTGCCAAATAAGACTGCCCCAAAACACTACTTCAAAGTGCTTTTAAATGCTGCCTTTTCTTCTTATAAGAATCCCAAGTGCGCACAAATATTAAAAATTTGGGTCTGGTGCAAACATCCGGTGTGTCCATACATCCGAACTTATATCATAATTACGTAATAATGTAAGACTTAAAAATTTCACAAGTAAAACAGGGACCAATTAACAGTTTCCAATATAGCAAATAAATAAGTTCTATAAGTTCTGCGTGTTAATACGTTTAATTCTTAGCACTTTCCAAATTGCATCTCCCATTTAAGTGTGCTGCGTTTTATTACTAAACAAGGCGGCAAAAGTCTTTTGTACCAGAATTACCTTTGTAAGAAAAACAAAACAACAATAATATTCCAGAAAATTAAAAATTACGAAGTGCCATGATCCGAAAAGACCAGATCTGCTGCCCCAATCCCACAAAATATTAACTCCCCATAGTTTTTTCGGACAGACTAGAAATGGTGAACTCTTTTAACTGCATCAAGACAATGATATTGGAGTTATCATTATTGCGCTATCTCCGCTCTGGCATAATTGTTTAAATCATTCATAATTATTTGTGACGGAACTTTTCGAACCGTGCCAAAACCAGATGCTCAGATCTTTATTTTTGTCAAGTTACGGCCAAAGTTTTCCGATAATGTTGGCTTTTTAGTGGGAAAAACGCAAAATCACTATTCATACTTTTGACAATTATGCTTGCAATTAGCAAGTGTTATTGAATCGGAATATAGATTTTTTTCTAGTTAACAACTAATTCAACAAATTCAAATGAATCAGTTATGCTGACATGCTCACTTTCATGTAACTTCAAATTTAGCTACTGGGTACTAATCACACTTGTGTATGCATATTTACAGAGTTCTGCTAATAGTTTTCTGCTGACAATTTTTCGGCTTCATGAAAATTTGAATTAAGCTTTGTCAGTTTAGTTTCCAAATGATCCAGTTCCTGTTTGATAAAAACAGGTATAATTAAAATGTATGGATTCGGGTTTTCCTCCCTTTCCCCTGTATGCCTGTATAATCCCCTAGCCTATCTTTCACTTTTACTTCACTTTCTACATACTTCGAAAAATGTGTGGGAGAAATTTTTGACCCATATTTGGTTTTAACATTTTCTTAAAAACTAACCTCCCAAATTTGAGATTATTGGCCCTCGGAAAGATCAAAACTTTAATTTTTGGACCGCTATTTCAATTTTTTTGATTTTTAATCTGAGTTCATGGGATCAATGGAGAGAACAGGTTACGTGAAGCCGAGCTGTTCTACCCAATTTGTTGATATAAAAATGGCCCTCGGAATAGTCAAATTTTTGAATTTTTGACCGGTTTTTGAAACTTTTTGGCTTTTCTCGAACGCTACCTCCTTAATCTGAGATTTTGATTTCACTCAAAAAAGCGGGTTGTAAAATGCTCCCCTGCTTACATGGCTTTGCCTAAACTTTGTAAACGAAAAGGTATGACTCTAGGAAAAGCCAAAAAATTGAATTTTACCGTTTTTGAAACTTTTCGGCTTCACTCAAAAAATACCCTCCCAACTCTGAAAATTTTAGTTCAATAGAGAGAACGAGTCGTGGGAAGCTTCCCTAGAATTAGCAGCTACGCCAAAATGTGTTTACACCAGAAGTTACGGTCTTCGGGGTTGTCAAGTTTTCGATTTTTTGACCGTTTTTTATAAAAACTTTTTGACTTAAGTTCTCGAAAACTACCCTACCAAATCTGAGGTGGCAAAAATAAGTTGTCATAATTGCTTTTACCTCATTTAACTTTTGAACCTATTTCGCGCTTTCTGATTTTTAAGAATTTGTTATTTCAGTTATTTTCAAATTAATAATTTTTGATTTATTTTTTAGTTGAAAACAAGCCATCAAATTGTAAATTGTGCATTTTTTGCTTCAATTTCTTATATTGCCTGTTTTCGCATCAGTACGTTCTTAGAAGATAACAAACGAGTACTTCTAGCTTCTGCCTTCTTCTTATCTACTCTGCATACGCTACTGATATATCTATCGTGGTATGTTTTTTGACTTAGGTTTCAGCTCATTGGATGTCGTCTTCATTTGTGTCGGCTTATTCATCTTTTTTTCCCAAAATTGAATTACTTTTGAGATAGATAAGACTTTGACACCAATTTTTGTCTGCCAAAGTTCAACCCCACTAGGACCTCGGAGGAAAACTTAAAAAATAGAAACACGCAAAAAATGCTTTTTTTTGTTTTTTAATTTATCGTTTCTCCACTTCCTTCATCAATAGTAACATTGTTCGATGTTTTGTTTGCTATTTTCAGCGTTATGGTGCACTCATCCCATAATTGTTGTATCGCAAGTGGTGCGAAGCTCAGCCTCACCTCTGTCTTGAAGTAAATTGTTTGGAAAAACTTCACACAATGCCTTAAACCCCGAATTTATTTTTTCTGATTTTGGAACGTGTTTTTGGCCGCTGTTAAAATTTGCTTACTACAACGTACGCATGTTGGTTGCTTTTTCTATTGTACTCAGAAGAACCACAAAATTGTTTAGTCTTGTTTATATGCCGACAATGTTCACGTATTTGTTGGATTATGTACATCATCATTAAATTTTTGGTGTCCCTGTCTAAATATGGAATGTATTCAACCGGCCGGAAGCATTACGGACACCAATGATTTACAACAACAGTTAGAAACGGCAACTTGGGCGCACAAAACCAACTCGGATTGCAAACCCAAGAACTATTACAAAAACGGCTATTCAGACGCATTCGGAACGACCACCTTCGCAAAAGAAGATATTCAGAGATTGAACGGAGAACTGAGACAAGTAAAAGACTCAGTTTAATCTGGTGTTCTTGGTATTCTTATTTTTGGTTCAGTGTTGGGCAAGGTTGCCGTAGTTTATAATTGAAAGTCGGCCAATACAGCATCGTTTAAGCGAACAGTAGAAATCGGATGTTTGCCCTGCTTTTTTTAGTAAAGCTGGTTTTTGGATTCTTGCAGCATTTTTTTTTGCTTTTTCGCATGTTTGACATATCGGAGCTTTGCATGGTACTCTTAAAGTTCCCCCCTTCGAAAACACCTACCAATTGCGTCATGTTGTACATGAAATCTTTGTCTGAATACCAAATTGGAAACGCACCAAGTAACATGCACTCGTAATCGAATAGAAAGAGTCGGTCGAAAAAAATATCGGACAAGTTTTTGATTGCTAAATTGATTTGAATGATTTCGTATATTCATTCTTTAAAATTCGTTTTGAACTATCATTTCGACAGCCACCAGATTATTTTTGCTAACTTCTTTTACTTTTTTTGAGCAATAAACAATTAAGGTTTTGCTTTTTCTTCCATGTTTTAACTCGAAAAGCTGCTCAAAGTTTAAGCGGAGTTTGCTACCTGTTGTTTATAGAAAAGAGTTTTGCTTGAGTCCTTGGTGATTCTTTGGAAGTATAAATTTAGCATTCAAGGTACGTTTTTTTTTCGATTTAGTAAAATAGCAACTGGTTACTAGATCTTTGTTCACCGATTGGACGATGGATGAAATGGGAAGTTATTTATTTATATAAGTGTTGAAATAATAAACTGGGCTGCATAAATAAGATGTTAACGTGCAAATGAACAAGAAACTAAGTAAGACGTAGGTTTGAAATTTTAACACATGCTAGATGAAATTATTTAGAAGGACTCCTCGAGGCAGAAACTCGAGAAACCTTGTTTTGAATGCGTAAAGAGCCAGTAGATCCTAAGAAGTTTCAGAGTTGTTCTTGATGTAAACACCCTCGCAAACTACATAAAAAATCTGAATCCATGGGCTCAGTTTGATTGTTTGGGAAAAACGACTTTATACCGACGGAAAATTGACTGACTGACTTGGTGATTAATTGACATGGTCCGGCGTCAAAAAATGATTGTTATTGATTTGGCGTTACAGGCATGGGCGCTGATTCAAGAAAAGTTGCTATGAGAAACCAATGATAATCCTAAATAAACGTTGGAGCAGTTTTTGTAATAGGTCGTTTCGTTCATCCACAAGCAAATAAAGTTTCAACCCTTTTTTGGCGCCGGGCCAAGTCCTTTTTTTCAGTTATTTGGTCTGTCGTTTCTCCGTGGTATAAGGGGTGTGCCCGCTCTGATCTCCGAACGAAAATAATTTTATCCAAATCCGTAAATTAATAAGAGATATTTCTCGGCAAATAACTCAGACAATAGATAAATTTCGGCATTTTCTATCGATCATAACATCATATAACTTTTTATCATCAGGTCGTTTTTGGTACAAATCGGCGCAAGCTAGCCACAAGAACCGGTCGGTAATGTCCTTGAGATACATTGCTCTTTTTGGCGGTCAGCCTTAATCAAGGTTGAACCGAATTAGAACCAAAAAACAGTTGAAATAGGATATAACCCCCGTTTTTAGTATATTAATACATAGGCAAGTGGGGGACTCGAACCTACGTCAACTCTTATGTTACGTTACTTTGTCTTACTCCGCTTGGCCAACTGTGCTTATTTTATATGCATTTATACTCTTGTTTTATAATTGAGTTGCAACATCCTCCCCCCCCCCCCCCCCTGAAGAAGGAAAAAGCGGAGCGAGCTTAACGGTCGGCCGACTGACTTCACGGTTCACGGGTTGCGGTCTTAACCAGGGCGGATCAAGCGCAACCGTCCTGTCCGTAGTTTAGCTTGACGATTCGGGCGAGAGGGTAGTACCCACGCGGACTATCGGGCTCAACCACCCACACGAGATCGCCTGTTTTAAGAGTGAAGTCAGAATGAGTGTGCCACTTGACACGCTTATTCAGCTAGGGAACATATTCGCGAAGCAAACGAGACCAAATCGCGTTAGCATATGACTGCGCTCGCACGTACCTTTTCTTGTGGTCGAAGTGCTCCCCAGGTAAAAGCGAAGGAAAGCTTGTGGCATGTTGTCCAAGCAAAAAGTGGTTTGGGGTTAACGCTTCTAACTCA